CTCAATCTTGTTTCATTTTTTATCAATTTTGGTATCGCTAATATTGGTTTGGTACATCCTTTCTCAGTTTCTCATTCACTGGTACTATATATGATATACAGAGTGAGTCATTTTTGACGCACCATTGGAAAATCAACGTGGGTGCGTTTAAATCTGACTCGAGGCTTATTTCCTTTGATTAAAACGTTAATAAAAGAAAGTGAGTCAATTTTCGGTGCACCATTGGAAAATCAACGTTGGTGCGTCTAATTATGACTCGGCACATTTTATTTTGTTAGTCTCCTACCAAAAAATAAGCGAGTCACTTTTCGACACACCATTCGTTACAATTTAGTTTTAGTAGATTGGAAAAAAAATAAACAAAACAAATATAATAAAACATTCAAACACAATGTAAAAATTAAAAAAAAAATTCTTCACATATTAATTTGATTAAGGTTTAAGAGTATTTTTTTTCGTCCGATCATCGTTTCGTCATAGACTAGGCTACTGTGTTGCAGCAAATGGAGGTCTGTTCGAACAATTATTATAATGATTTTGAACATTTTTGGTTTGCAAACAAAGGAGATTGTTACATTTATTTAATTTTTTTACTTCACCAGAAAAAAGGAGATTTTTACATTTATTTAATTTTTTTACTTTACTTTACCAGAAAACACGAGATTGTTACATTTATTTAATTTTTTTACTTCACCAGAAAAAAAGAGATTGTTACGCTTATTTAATTTTTTTACTTCACCAGAAAAAAAGAGATTGTTAGGTTTATTTAATTTTTTTACTTCACCAGAAAAAAAGAGATTGTTACATTTATTTAATTTTTTACTTTACCAGAAAAAAGGAGATTGTTACATTTATTTAATTTTTTTACTTTACCAGAAATAAGAAGATTGTTACATTTATTTAATTTTTTTACTTTACCAGAAAAAAGGAGATTGTTACATTTATTTAATTTTTTTACTTTACCAGAAAAAATATTCTTAAACCTCAATCAAATTAATTTGTGAAGAATTTTTTTGTTAATTTTTACGTTGTGTGAATAATGTTTTAATAATATTGGTTTTTTATTTTCCTTCCATCCTGCTAAAACTAATTTGTAACGAATGGTGCGTTGAAAAGTGACTCACCTATTTTTTGGTATGAGACTAACAAAATAAAATGTGCCAACGTTGATTGTCCTATGGTGCACCGAAAATTGACTCACTTCCTTTTTTGATTGTTAAAATCACAAGAAATAGGCCTTGAGTCAGATTTAAACGCACCCACATTGATTTTCCAATGGTGCGTCAAAAAATGACTCACCCTGTATATAGATATGGGTGCCATTCTGAGGATGCAGGATGCGTTGCAGTGGGTATTGTTTTAAGATCAATTACATTTATATTTTTTTTTAAATTTTATTTTTTGATTATATGTAAAAATGGGTGTGACTTAGGTCAGGGGGATTTTTTATACTTTTTAGTATCATTCGAATTTTAAGGTCAACTCATCAGTGATTTCTGTTCCAATAATTACGCCTAAACATATAATATTTTGGGGATGATTTTTTTTCTGGATTTCGCAGTGATTTGGGCTGTAAGAGTTAATTTGGTTTTTTCTTTTAAATAACATTGTTATCTTGATGGAGGTTGTATTTGAAACCTTTCTCTGGTACCATTTCCCCGTTATGTTTATGATGTTTTGCTTCTGATTATTATAACTATGGTCAGCGGCAGGTCATCCACTAGTGGCCATAGTTGGTGATGTTCTCTTCGTTATATTTTACTTTTTCGGATCCAAGTTACTTTATTTATATTTAGGCTATTTAGCATGATATCCGTACGATGGTTTTATTTCATTATTGAAAAAAGTAGGTTTAATCGATTCATCTGAGGTGTTTTTATAGGCCTCCTTCTTTATCGATGAAATCACATAAGGCAGTTTCTTTATTGCATATTAAATTTTCTATTTTCTTCACGATATTACAGTATTATGTTGGGATGTTTAACATTTATTCAATAAAGAAAAGTTAATTGGTAAAGTTGAATTTGCAAAACCGGAGATCATATTGTTATATTTAAACCCACTTTCTCTTTTGGTTCTTTTTCATCCGGTAAACCGCCTAGAAAGGATCATTTTGAATATATTTCTCTAAAAATCCATGTTTTACATCTGCGTTAAAAGAAAAAAAGAAAAATGCTGACGCGAAGAAAAGTTGCGAATTCATCACGTTTAAGTGGTTCTCGTACTTCCAGAAGAGTATTCAATCATCCGTTGATAAATCGAAATAAATTCAGATCGATGAGAACGTAGAGCATAGGATTAGCCATAAACCTCGGAATAACGATTACCTAATAAAAAAAGAACTATCGACATTTGTCGTTTAACATCGTTTCCGCTGGGTTGATTAATGGCTTCAGCCATCCCAGGTCCATTTGCTATGATTCAAGAATTATATTTCCATGATAAAGTACGCTTTGGTTATTTTAATTTGTCTCATTTTAAATATATTTTTCCCTTTTACAAAGAAAAGTTTCTATTTTTAATGACTGGATTACTTGATCTATTAATAATGTGTAGAATTTAGTACATAACTCTGACTTATTTTTAATAAATATCTTTTACTTATCAGAAAAATTACTTATTTTTATCTACACCAGACTTGTATTATGTACAACCAGCAGATTGGAATTCAATTTATGTTTGTGGCATAAAAAACTGTTGTTAAACTTAATTGTTTTAAATAAAGTTATATCGGTATTTTGATAAATTTTCTTCCTAACGATCATAATCAAATATTTTTTAAAAAAATTATGAATATTTGATCTCGTTAAAATTTGGTTTACATTAAAATAGGAATGTTCCATTTAATATATCGACAAAATTACATATACTTAGTATGAAAGAAGCTACAAAAAATATGAGTGTCTTGTTCTGAAGCTAGTCGACGAAAATGGTGTAATTTTATGAGCAAAACCATGAAATAAATTGTTAGTTAAATTTTATGAGCAAAACTGTGCAATAAATTGTTAGTTAAATTTTATGAGCACAACCATGTAAGAAATTATTAGTTAAATTTTATGAGCAAAACCGTGCAATAAATTGTTAGTTAAATTTTATGAGCAAAACCGTGCAATAAATTGTTAGTTAAATTTTATGAGCACTACCATATAATAAATTGTTTGTTGAACTTAATTGATTTAAATAAAGTTATACCGGTGTTTCGATAAAGTTTCTTCCTACCCATCACAATAAAATATTTTTTATAAAAAATTATGAATTTTTGATCTCGTTAAAATTCGGTTTACATTAAAATAGGAATGTTCTAATTAATATAAAGACAAAATTACATATACTTAATATGAAAGAAGCTACAAAAAAATATGAGTGTCCTGTTCTGAAGCTAGTCGACGAAAATACTGCCATTTTATGAGCAAAACCATGAAATAAATTGTTAGTTAAATTTTATGAGCAAAACCAAGAAATAAATTCTTAGTTAAATTTTATGAGCAAAACCATGAAATAAATTGTTAGTTAAATTTTATGAGCAAAACCGTGTAATAAATTAAATTCACTAATTTCGTAGTCCTCTTGACCAATTAATACATTACAATTAATTAAGATATTTAGTTGAGATGAAAAAAAGTTAATGGCACGAGCGGGATTGGAACCCACGATCTTCGGCTAGATACGCCGCTGCTCTACCACTTGAGCTATCGTGACCTAGATCCACTCGGACATCAACTTCCTATCTCAACCCCACCTTATGAGTTTTCCCTCCTTTTTGCCATTTTTCAATTCATAAGGTGGGGTTGAGATAGGAAGTTGATGTCCAAGTGGATCGAGGTCACGATAGCTCAAGTGGTAGAGCAGCGGCGTATCTAGCCGAAGATCGTGGGTTCGAATCCCGCTCGTGCCATTAACTTATTTTCATCTCAACTAAAAACCTTAATTAATTGTCGTGTAATAAATGGTTAGTTAAATTCATTATATAAAAAAATGGTATTCTGGTGTTTTGATCAATTTTCTACCAAACCATTAAAATTAATTAAAAAAAAAATGAATTTTTGATCTCGGTTAATTTGGTTTATATTAAAATAAGTTTGTTGTAATTAATATAACGACAATAATGCATGTAGTTTGAATAAAAATATGAGTGTTCGGTTCTTTTGTCTTCGACTGTACTTGATGCGGCCCAACGAAAATCTGCATAGTGGGAGGATCGCAGAGCGTAGTGTAGGGTAGCGTTGCGTGGCATCGAGCAGATGTGCACGGGGGTTCGGTATCGTCGGGTAGCATCGGGTAGCGTCGCATAGCGTTGCATCGGGTCCGCTCGACGGCAGCCTCAAAAACTTCTGAAAAAAAATCTTGCAACTCTCATTCAAACATTAGCAGGCATTCAATGGTATAACAATTTGGGAAAAGGCCTAAATCTCATTATAAATTCCAATAAATTTGACAAAGCTGAAAAGTGCTCTTCGAAAGAAACACCGGGGACCCAGTAACTCCTGTAAATCACTCGAAAGGTTGAGCCTTTGCCTAAAGGGTTGCAAAGTGGGACAGTCGACCAAAATATGTTTTACTGTCAGAATGATACGTTCTCCACTTCGCTTCGAGGACAAGTTGAAAGGTTGTTGCCTATTAAAAGCAGCCTATTATAGATTAGCCTGATGTGACCTATTCGCAATCTAGAGAGAATCACAAGTTCTTTTCTCTCAAGTTCCTCAGTTGGACGTTTATGTATAGCTGAATTAATTTTTTTCATACTATCTCTACAGACATTCCATCTAGGCCAACCTTATAAGTTGTTATTATTATTATTATGTAGAAAGGATAATTTAGAAGATTTTCTTTTTGAGTGTGAGGTCATGAAGCTTACCACGCTGCATTTTGTACTGTTTTTGTAAATAGATCAACTGCGTTTTCTATTTTTCTTGTTGTTTTTAAACTAATTGGGATGGAAAGTTTTTCATCAAGCAAATGTACGATACTTTTTAATTAATAATATTTAATTTGTTTTTCAGCATGTTCTCCAAGTGGATTTTGTTTGCTGCTCTCGCCTTTGTCGTCGTTCTGACTCACGCGGCGGATGAGATCGTCGAGGATGACGAGCCAGACGCGGTCGACCGAAATACCGTAACGACTTCCCATTCCAGTGAGTTTTCCCCCTTTTGCCCAAAAACAGTTTTAACTATTAACAAAACTTAATCAAACAGGTGAGTTAATTTTGTAAATTCTGAGCCGGACTTTGATGAAAGAGTTGGCGTAATACGATCCACTTGAGGGATGAGCCGTCCTATATTTTATATTCGAACAAACATCAGACAGTAGCGGCTTTTAAGCCTCGGGCAGTTCTAGCTGAGCAATTACAACCGAGCCATAGGTGCAGCTAGCCCTTTAATCTTTATCCCGCTCAATGCCGGCTTGATGAAACGTCTCCATTCATTAGGGCCTTCTACTTTTATGGCCTTTTCCATTTGAAATCTCTTTTCACGCGTTAACGACTTTTTTTAGTATTTTAGATTTTTTATTATAAAAAATATTGTTTGGATTATTTAATATGTGGCAGGTGCAAACATAATGCAGGTTAAACGCAGTCAAAACTGTCTTTAATTTAAACATGAATCCATTTATGTTTTAGTGGTCAATTGAACAAGTTACTTCTTTCAATTGATTATTCTTTTTTATGTAAGGTCTTTGGTTGAGATAAAAAAGTCAGTGTCACGAGCGGGATTCGAACCCACGACCTTCGGCTAAATACGCCGCTGTTCTAACCTCTTGAGCTATCTCAACCTACAACCGGGTCGTGGGTTCGAATCCCCCTCGTGACACTGACTTTTTTATCTCAACCTTACATAAAAAATAATAATTAATTGAAAGAAGTAACTTGGTCAATTTACCACTAAAACATAAATGGATTAATATTTAAAAAGTAAAAGAGGTACTTTTCTAACAGCTCCCCGTGGCCACTTCATAAGTCGCTGAGAATCCAAACCTAATTCCATTTGAAAAATGGCAAAAAGGAGGAAAAATTCGAAATGTAGGTTGCGATGGAGAGTTAGTGTCCGAGAAGATCGAAGTATAGCTCAAGTGGTAGAGCAGCGGCATATTTAGCCGAAGGTCGTGGGTTCGAATCCCGCTCATGACATTGATTTTTTATCTCAACCAAAGTCCTTACATAAAAAAGAATAATTAAACATTAAATATTGCTGTACTCAGGACCACCTATTTTCCATTGGAATGGGAGTTATCTGTAATTAAAATGGTTCATAAGAGCTAAATAAATCTGATCTTCGAAGTTCCTATCGACCCGTCTCTCCTTTCTAGCCAAAATTCTAGAAAAAATACTTCTCCGATGATTAATGCCAATAATTGAAAATTACAATATTATTCCAGATCATCAGTTTGGATTCCGCACATTTCAGGACAACTCAGCAATTGTGCTGCTGACAATATCGTTTCTTCTTTCGAAGATAAACAGTATTGCTTGTGTGTCTTTCTTGATTTAGGACAGGTCTTCGATTCTGGCACTCGGGCTTGATTTGGAACCTGAAAAACATCCTCCCTCATACTATCTAATACTGAGATCTTATCTGACGGGCCGATTTTGCCGAGTCCGTTAAGGAACTGAATTCTCAGCTCATATTAGGGCGGGTGTTCCTCAGGGAAGCATACTAGGCCCATTTCTATTTTCAATGTACACTGCAGATATTCCTTCACGTTTCAACACATTCATTCGCTGATGATACAGCGATTCTTACTTGCAATTCGGACCCCTCAATTAACACTCAACACTTACAACAACTGAATGAATTAACAATACTGTTCACAAAGTGGAGCGTACAAATAGATTTTACCTTACGTAAAAATATCTGTCCTGCATTTGGACATTTTATTGATAAACGATTGACTTGGAATCCCCACACAAGACTGAAAAGACAGCAAACAAACCGACCTTATAAAGTATTAACAAGACTGAGTGACCCACGAACAAAATTAGACATTGAAAACTAACTTATAATTTACAAGACAATGATTAAACCTAACTGGGCGTACGGTTGTGAAGTGTGGGGTTTCCAATTCCCCACGTCTCCAATCAATCTAATCTAAAATTCTCCGTCAAATTATAAATGCTCCTTTTTTCGTTTCAAATGACCATATTCATAACGATCTACACATTCCGTTTGTACAAAAACTCATCAAAACCTGCCGTAAAAAATTTCATCAATCACTGAACATAATAATCTATTAATGTGTGTGTTTCTTAATGACCGGTTGTTTCATAATTTGTTTAAGTCGTGAGGAGCTGTCAAGGATGAGGTAGTTTAGAAAAACACTTTTTTAAATTTTTTGCTGACGTTTCGACCTTTATTCGGGTCATCTTCAGTGTATAAAGTGTGGTGCTATTCGTTTAGTATCATATTGGTTTTGTGTGAAAGTGTTGTCACAACAAATACCAATATGACATCACAAGAATAGCACTACACTTTATGCCCTGAAGATGACCCGAATAAAGGTCGAAACGTGTGATGTCATATTGGTATTTGTTATGACAACACTTTCACACAAAACCAATATGATACTAAAAGAATAGCACCGCACTTTATGCGCTGAAGATGACCCGAATAAAGGTCGAAACGCCATCTAATATATAAAAAAAGGGTTTTTTCTAAACTACTTCGTTCTTGACCGCTCCTTAAAGCTTCAACAAATTATTATCTAACAGTACGACATTTATCACTTCCAACCCTACCGGAAAATCCAGCAAGACGATTGAAGCGAAAGTGGACCCGAAACTTTCTCATTGAGTAAAGATTGAAAAGATTTAAGTTTGAAGGAGTGTGCCACTGGCCAATCCCTCCTACAAGAGATTCAAATGACAAATTCAACAATATGAGCGTATTTACTTAATACTATATTTGTAGCAGTAAAAATCAAATAAATGTAATAAAAAAATATTTTCTCTCACGATCTATACATCTTTGCGTACGTGTAGTAAGCGATTTTATTCCGCTGACGTAAAAATCTTCATTTCGGCGCACAATAGTCTTGGAAGGCGTTTTCGGGTTCACCGCTTTCTCCAAAAAATTTCTCACTCAAGAAGTGATCAAATGACTAAAAACAGTGGAATTCTATAGGCTAAAGGTTGGTTGAATATGGAAGGTGCGGTAAGGTTTTCTTATCCTAAGTCCTTAAGTTTCCGCAGGGTTGGAATGCGACATGTGGCCTGGTGTTATAGTGAAGAAGAATCGACCCCTCAGGGTCCGTTGCACCACCTTGGTTTAAAATCTATTCAATACTGAACCGAGTTCAAGTAAAAAATTGTCGTTTTTCGATTTGTCTTGAACCGCTTTCTCCAAAACATTTCACACTCAAGAAGTGATCAAAATGACTAAAAACAGTGGAATTCTATAGGCTAAAGGTTGGTTGAATATGGAAGGTGCGGTAAGGTTTTCATATCCTAAGTCCTTAAGTTTCCGCAGGGTTGGCGTCGCGCCATGTGGCCTGGTGTTATCGTGAACTTGGTTTAAAATCTATTCAATACTGAACCGAGTTCAAGTCAAAAATTGTCGTTTTTCCATTTGTCTTGAACCGTGTTCAAACGACGATCATGGTTTAAATCTAAACGGCCGTCGATTAATTTTTAACTTAAACTACCCTATTCTACGAGGACACTCCTGTTCCAAAATAATTTTCTTCTTTCTTCTTCTTATTTTCATCTTTGGACAGACTAATGATGTCAATTAAATTTTTTTTAACTGAAAAATCTTTTAAATAACGTAAATACGTACATTTATAAAATATTGTTGGAAAAGAAAGCAATATGTGTAAACTATATGCAATTCATGTAAGCATTGCTGGTTTAGTATCGTTCATAGGGAAGGGGTTTTACTTACTCATAAATATTTTGCTTACAAAAGCGCAAATCTCCTGTTTTTGACCTAATTACTTCTTAAATTTTCCAACAACTCAATCAAAAATCTATTATATTTTTCACGTACCTGTACAAATGTATATTTGACACTGCATTTTCCCTTTATGGAAATATATTTTGCACCACTTTAAAATTATGTATTATTACAATTTGCAAACGCGGTAATAAAAATAGACATTTTTAAAAACATTTAATATGATTTAAGTTTTAAAAATTGTTTTTAATTATCTCCAAACAAAGAAAACGTTTGTACATAAATCATAAAATTAATTATGGCGAAGTATTTAAATCCCCCAGGCGTCCCTTGAGGGAAAATGCAATTCGTCCTAGAATAAGAATAAGGAATACTAGATTATATTTAAAAAGTAGAAGTAATTAAAAACAATAGCAAATAATGTGAGTATAGTTGAGTTTTACAAAATAAATGAACAGAATTAACCAGCTGTTAAAAAAAGGTATAAACGGAAACATAGTCTTCTGCCTGTAACAACAAAAGAGAGAGGAAGAGTAATAATAACAATATTAATAATAATAATATACTTTATTATTTGTATAGTACATAACAATTAAACACAATTAAATAAGAAAAACAAAGTATTATACAGCTTGGAAAAAGGAAATCCGTTTGCCGGAGGTCGCTGGAATAAAGAAGTGATAGTGCCTTTTATTTTACAATTAAAGGGAAAAATAAGAACTACTTAATAAGAAAAAAATAAAGTAAATAATGAAGAAAAAAGAAAAACAAAGATTCATTAGAAATTGAATTCCACCACTATATAAGTGGGAAGTTTATGGGCCGACAAACAGCTGAGGTCAATGCCGGCCCTCTTCGTGTTTTCCTTCTTTTTCTTTTCTTTCGCGCATATTTTGTTTTAAACTACAGCCATTTGAGCGTCTCGATCTGGTTACTGACTCTCTGATTTCAGATATATACAACGTTGATATTCTAGAATGATAGTCTCTTGTTTGGACCTCAGCTTGTCAAATACAGAATAAAAACAAAACATACAATACAGGTTTTTAGTTGAGATAAAAATGTCAATGGCACGAGCGGGATTCGAACCCACGATCTTCGGCTAGATACGCCGCTGCTCTACCACTTGAACTATCGTGACCTCGATCCACTGGGACATCAACTTCCTATCTCAACCCCACCTTTTGAGTTTTCCCTCCATTTTGCCATTTTTCAGAATATATACTCAATATTCCTCAGGGCGGGGTTATAAGCAACCCCTTACTTTCACGCTAATAAATTACATTCATAACAATAAATTAACACAAACACAACACTCGATAGAAACATAGATGTCTGGTCACATTCACTCCCCCACAGTACTCGATATTCCTCGGGGCGGGGTTAAAAGCAACCCCTTACGTTCACGCTAATAAATTACATTCATTACAATAAATTAACACAAACACAACACTCGATAGAAACATAGAGGTCTGGTCACATTCACTCCCCAGAGTACTCGATATTCCTCGGGTCGGAGTTATAAGCAACACCTTCCTTTCACGCTAATAAATTACTTTTACTTTTCAGACGTCACACACTCACCCCAGAGTACTCGATATTCCTCGGGTCGGGGCTAAATCACCCCTTCCTTTCATGCTAATAAATTACATTCATTCCAATAAATTAACATAAAGTCAAACACAGACACAACACAAACACTTAAAACTAAAACATTTAAAAATCCCTATAGCCCTGAGATACCGGAACAGCGATCTGTGCCCGCTGCCGACTACGCACAGGTCCGATGATGTGCCAAAATATTGTCTATATACATCAAACCTTCTGCACTTGAAGAGGTGCTCGATCGTTATTCTATCCTTACAAACGGGCTCCTACGCGGTCGCTTTCCTGCCAGAAGGTGCCCGTGCGTTATTCTTGTATGACCTATGCGTAGTCTTGCCAGTATGGCCCTTTTCCCTTTTCGAACCGTTCTCCGTGGACCAGGGACCGACTTCTTTCTTAACCTGCCGCAGTTTGGCAGGGTTATTTCTATAATTCCAGCACTAATTAAATACCTAAACTTATACTTAAATAGAAAATTAAGTTGGTCTTTTGCATTTACAGAATAATTCATGTGTAAACGGCGGATCTTTGAAAAAAATGAACAAAAAACTAAATAATGTCCTCCCTAACACCTGAATTACACAGAGGACACCATTCCTTTGAAAAGGAAGATTATATAATCAGTAGTGACCAGATAAAATTGCTCATTTCTGTTAAACATTGTCTAAATAAAATTTGTTTGTCTCTTATCAATATATAAAACAAATGTATTGTGAATAATTTATTGAACTGAAGGTGTTGTAGAGGATAAAAAAGGAGTACTGTACAATCTGTACAATTTTTTTGAAATCGAAGAAATTAAAGCGTTAAATAATTTAATTTTGACAAATTTGACTTTTTCAATGCAGAAACCTGGAATTAATAGAAGAAAACGGCGAAAAAAAAGGCGCTTTGTCTATAGATTTGGGGTTTTAGTGGAAGGACCAAATAATGATAAGAAATCCGCTAAAAATAAAGGGGAGAAAAGAGGAACGGATTTACCCCTGTTTGCCTTTTCTCACGACAAAACGGATAACAAAAGTTGTATGAGAAAAAAATAAATGTCAATTTAATTTTTTTTTACTTCATTTATTTGTATCTACAACTGTACATTTATTATATACAACCAGCAGATTGGATTTCAGATTATGTGTTTGGCATTATGGGCGTTATAGAGAAAGCTACCCATTGGCAGCCGCTCTGGATTAATGAAATGATATTAATCATTTAAGAGGTCTCTTATCCATATTCTTTTCAGACGTTTACGTNTGCTACGTCATCGTCGAATGAAACAAATTCTTGAAAAGTGATAGGATTGTCATCGTGGGTCAAGCGGTTCCATTCGTTGGGAGTCGCAATTTCGTTGTCGGGTTCAGAGGGTGCTATGACACTGTCGTCTTTTATAAATCCGCTCGTCCTGAAGCAATTTCTGATGGTTTTTTCACTCACTTTTTTCCAAGATTTATCAGCTATGTACATGGCTGATAATAACGAGATTTTGTGATCGACATTTTCTTCCAAGCTATCTAGGAGTTGTTGGACGATTTCCGTTCGATAAAATGATTTGAACACCTTTATGACCCCTTGATCCAATGGCTGTAATATCGATGTAGTGTTGGGAGGTAAAAATTCGACTGCAACATGACTTAAATGCGGAGGGTTGTTATGTGCCGTACAATTGTCGATGAAAAGAAGGATTCGACGATTCTTCGCGATCGTGGGTTCGATTCTCACCGTCGCCTCTGGCCCTTTTTTCCCGATAACCCCCAATTTGAACACACAAGAATTCGTATCGAGACACGAAGTAATGAAATCAGTCACTCTGTGAAGTTGATGAGTGGTGGAAAGATGGGTTCGAAAGCCAAATTGATGGTCTGGTAAGATGTTGTTCGAAGTAGCAATAGAGATAATTATTTTGTAAATTAATTTTTCGAATAATTTAGAAGGAACGGGTAACAAACTAATAGGACGATAAGACGATGGGGAGCTTAAATTTTTATTGGGCTTTGGAATCATTTTAATGTAAGAAAGTTTCCATTGTATGGGGAAGTGTGTAGTCCTCAAAATTGCGTTAAATAAAGAAGACAAAAAGACGACTGCTTTTTTGGGAAGTTCTTGAAGAACTTCAGCTGTTATCAAATCATGACCAGTGATTTTTTAGTAGGAAGCTGTCGTATTTCTTGGGATACTTGTTTTGGAGTTATTGGTTTAGGTGGCAAATCTAGGGGTATAGGTGTTACAAGTGAATCTGATATAAATTTATCGTGTTCGGTTTTGCAAATGTTTTGGACTTTTCTTTATCGGAAACGATCCAAGTTCCATCATCATTCCTGAGAGGAGTTGAGACAACCCTATGACGCAGGATACGTTTAGTACTACGCCAGAGGCTCCCATCCTCTGTTGACAAGCTTTTTAAATGTGTTTCGTATGATTGTTGTTTAAATTTAAAATATGAACTTGAGAAAATCGTTAAATTTTACAAAATAAAACGCAAAATCTCATTTTACAAAAGATAATAATTTAGGATTAACTGATTGTTTCCTTGACGTCCTAAACTTTTAAATATCCGTTGTGATCATACACATATTTTATTAAAAAACTGGTACTAGAATAAGAAAAAAAAACATGTTTAAGAAAAAATAATTTCCGAATTTTTGTGTGTTTGAATTATTTAACGATTGCAAAATTTTAACGTGATGAAGAAAAAATATTGGATTGTATATTATTGTTATTTTTTTTAAGTTGTCATTTTGAAGAGGTATTGCTAATTGTTAGGGCTGAACGTAGGTGATATTACGCTCCCGAATGGACTAGTTACCCTGCTGGCGAACGGAGGAGCTGTCGCAGCTGGAATCCTCGCTGTTGCTGCTATCGCCATGTTGTTAATGCCCGCCTTTGGTCTGAGAATGTGCTCCATATTCGGAAATTGCGACAACCCTACTTACCAAGGTAAAGATAAAGCTTTAAAAGTTTCGGTGTTGAAAGAGGAGGAAAAAAGTCCTTTACGAAAGCCATTGATTATAAGAATATTAAGGCGCAATCAAGGGCGTTCTTTCATCCTTTTCAATGAGGTTGCTTGAAAAGTTAACCCCCAGATCGGAGATTAGTTTTAACCGGGTGATTCAATTTTCACAGCTTACTCAGCCGCCCCAAACAGCGTCTACGCTGATTACCCCGGCTACGCTCAATCTGGCACTTACAACAACCCCGTTTATCAAAAAAGGTAAATCTGACAAAATAATTTTTTTTTATCGTGTCTAATATTTTGTTTCGACAGGTCTTTGGAGTATATCGGCCCGATTCTCAAGGCTCTCGGTAACGCTTACGAAAAATACAGCAAACCAGCTATAATCAAGAAGGCGTAAATTATTTCAAACAGAGAAACTATTAATTCAGAAGTTCCTAAAATTCAATTTGGCTGATTTATTGCTTATATTATTTAAATATCTAAAACAAATTGTCTGAATAAAGAAAACAAAAACTATAAAAGAGATGTTTTATTATTAACAAATTCCTACAAAATCAAACTGTGTACTTCTTTTGTTCACCTAGAAAATACTGCCATTCTAATAATATAAATCTTCTGAGCTAGAGAGAAAGAAAAAGAAAGAGAGTGGGAAAAAGATAATAATGAATATAATTGTATTAAAAATAAATTGATCACGAACGATATCTTTTGCAGTTAAGGAGAAGAAGAAGAAGCCGAATGAGGGAGAGAGAGAGAAATAGAGAGAGAGAGAGAGAGAGAGAGTGAGAGAGAGAGAGAGAGAGAGAGAGAGAGAGAGAAAGGAAGGGAATATAATAGATGCACAGATAAAGATAGAAACGGAAGGTAGAGTATAGATAGAGTCAAGGAGGGCATAGGAGAAAGAGTGATGGAAAAAGAGCTAAAAAAAAATTAATAGAGGTAAACAAAAACAGGCAGAATAGAGGAGAGTAACAAAACATAGAAAGGGGAAAAGTTACAGAGACAGTGACAGACAAACAGTTAGATAGATAAATAAATAAAAAGCTAGATTGATAGATAGAGAGAAAGAGTGCGATGGGAATAGAATGGAACAGATAGATAGTTAAAGAAAGAAACAGAGAATTAGAGAAGAAAATGAGTCCACGAAGTAAATAAAGTTAGAAAAACGTGGTAAAGATAAATAAATAGAGAGAGAGAGAGAGAGAGAGAGAGAGAGAGAGAGAGAGAGAGAGAGAGAGAGAGAGAGAGAGAGAGAGAGAGAGAGNTCAGAGAAATGTTTAGATTAAAAGATATCACGATTTTCCGACGCCAGGACGTGATATCTTTCAAAATCGATAAAAAGCGAAATTACTCTGAAATGGTTGAGAATCGGACCATGGACAATATGAACTTTTTTGTTCATTTTAGGGTGAAGAATGTACTGGAGATGTTTGTAGCACGATTAGCAATTCACCCTGTATATATATATATATAGAGAGAGAGAGATATGGAAAGAGATTGGGACAGAGAGATGGTGAAAGAAAGAAACAGATGAATAGAGAAGAGATAGGAGATAGAGTCAAAGAGATAAGAGGAGATATAGAAAGAGAGACAAAAGGAGTTAGAAAAAAGAAAAAAGTGATAAACATAAATAAAGAGAGAGAGAGAGAGATGGAAAGACATTAGGACGGAGAGATGGTTAAAGAAAGAAATAGAGAAGAGATAGAGTAAAAGAGATAAGAGGATATAGAGAGAAAGAGAGGGAAAAGGAGTTAGAAAAAAGTGATTAACATAAACAAATAAAGAGAGAGAGAGAGAATGAGTGAGAGAGAGAGTGAGAGAGAGAGAGAGAGAGAGAGAGAGAAACAGATCAACATAAAGTGATAATATTCAATTAACAAAAAAAAAATAAAATAATACAGAAAATCTCTTTATAAAAAATACAATAAAATATAGAACAAACTCTATAGTATAACGTAAAACTTACGAAAAAAGAAACATTATTCACAATGATACAACGAAATTTGTTTTATTTTTATTTTAATTTTTAAATTAAGGGTTATTTTAAATATGCTAGTCCTTTAAGTAATTGGTGATCGAACAAAAGAAAAAAGTTTTCCTGGGCTCCTGGGGTTTTTACGCTTTTCAGGGTTTTAGATTGAATTAATATTTAAAAGTGGTATTTTCGTTGGAGTAAATATTCATCGTTTGTTAAAATTTATATGAGTTTTGTCCGTATTTTCCTGATATATTTAAGTTTAATCGGCTGTTATCGACTGGAACGGTATCGTCTCGAGTTGTAGCGGAATTGAATTACAAACTGTTGCGGTAGCGAGTATAAATTGGCCGTGTTTGGCCTCCGAACTGTTCAATTTCGTTAATCAAGGGCGGGTTGTCGAGAGTTTAAGGAGATTGGCGAATTAGTGGAGCAAAGGGGGTGCAAGGAGACGAGGATCAATGGTCGACCGAAGCCCCCAGGTGCCTCTCATTATCATAGCCGACGTCCAATTTGCTCCGACTCCCATGAATATGCAACCCCCACGGACCTTAGCTGAATATACATTAGTCAATTTGCGGTCTCGACCGATTCCAAGGGGCGATCGTCTCCTTAGAACGATCCGAGGATCGTGTGAATCCGGGAATCGTGTAATGAGCCGACATGTGGAGGGTCCTTATCGAACTCGGCCCCTATGTTAATTCGGAACCCTTTTATCCGATTCCCGATATGCCTTTGCGTATATTATTTTCAACGTGTAATTTGTACAAGTTGCGTTAGTCACGGAGCTGACACACCTCCGGCATAAATACAAACTCGTTAAGGGAAAGAGGGTTTATTTGCATTATTTATACATTAGCCTCGAGGTCCCCCGCGACTAGTTAGTGCCCCCTAAAATTTATTGATTTAAATTTAAAATTCATCCTCGCCCTACCTTCCGGCTACGCATCTCCTCATAACAACAAAAGGAAAAAAAAATTTAAAAGCTATTTTTTAATAAATTTCACCAAAGGTCCTATTACATTTTACAAGGTAAAGCTTATTTAACTCAACCAATTATTCTAAGTATTTTCCATCTTAAAACCACTGCCTTTTTCTTATTCACAACCCAACCAGAATTTTTACATATTATAATAATTAAAACTTTAGATTTTATAACTTTACAAATATAAACCTTTAACTTTAAAATATCAAGCATTATTTTAGCTGTCTTCTTCGACCTGGAAAAAGCATACGATACGACCTGGAGATTTGGTATTCTTAAGAAACTCTATGATTGGGGTTAAAGAGGGAACACAGCAAAATTTTTAAAAAGCTTACTCGAAATGAGGAGATTCCGGGTGAGATTAGGTACCGCCTTATCTAGTACGTTCATTCAAGAAAACGGGATTCCTCAGGGTTCGGTTCTGAGTGTCACTTTATTTGCCATTGCGGTAAACGGTCTTGCTGATAATATAGATGATCGTATAGTCAGGCCTTTATATGTCGATGATCTTTGCTTTTACTTGTCTGGGAAAAATCTCCAAAACGTAGGAAGGACTTTACAAAACGCCATTGACACATTGTCACGAAAAGCAGATGATGTAGGTTTCAAATTCTCTTTGTCCAAAACGGTATTTGTACACTTTTGTAGACTGAGAAANCAAAAAAAAAGAAGATAAAGATAAAGAAATGTTATTGTGTTTTGTTTCTTATTATTGTTATGTAGAATTAGTTTATGTATCATATTTGAATGGAAGAATAAAAGGATAAGGATGAGCCAATACTCATGCTGAGACTGTTGCTAGTCTGACTCCATTATTATTATTATTATTAGCCATACAAGCCTACGGGGAATTTTTAAATTATGGAACAAAATTCACAATTCTAATTAAAAAAAGAAACAGAAATAAATTTTATAAATTTATTAAATTTTATGCAATTTAAAATGGGAATTTTGTATGCATTTGGCCTTCCGAATTAAGAATTGTAAAAAGAAAAATTAAAGCTTGGATGGGAATAGGATAAATAAGATTACGAGTGAATGTTTGGAGTCAGAGCTTTATAGCACTCAGAAGAGATATAGCTAACCTAAGATAGAAGGTTTGGATGTTAGGGCGTGAAATGACCTTAGCCGTTAAAACGCCCTTAAAAATTAATAATAATAATAATAATAATCAAGCATTATTTTTATACTATAATTTCAGTTTATCTATTGCGATTTGATAGAATTTTATATCTTTATTCATCTATGTATTTACTATTTAGGGTTAGGACGGTACGTCAGGGTTATAAGCAGGGCGAGGAAAGAAAAACATTGTAAAAAATGTAAGCCTCCAATACATACATAACTTTCAATCCCAACATGTCATTACATACCAAAAAATATTTAAACACACACACACACACACACACACACACACATATATATATATATATATATATATATATATATATATGTATATAAAGGTTAGGAAAATAATAGGTTTAAAATTAGATAAGCAGGGAAAGACAAGAATTTGTTTTTGTCAGAATATAATCCAGAAATATAAACTTATTATTTTCCATCACATGTTATTACAACAAACAAATTGGGAAAAATGGTTAAGTAGAGGTAACATAGAGGGCCGTCAAGGATATAAGCAGGGAGAGGTAATTAAGTTCATGTCAAAATATAGGCTTTAACTAAAAAAGTTATTTTATGACACGTGTTGATAATGTAAAACAAAATTTGAAAAATAAAAGATAGAAAAATATTACGTAGATAGAGGGATAAGGTTATAAGCAGGTAGAGGCAAAATATGAGCCAGAAATATGAACTTATTATTTTCCATCAGCTGTTATAAAAATTAGTGATGAGTCTAAGACTTTACAAATTTAAAACTTCAGTCATTATTTTTAAACTCCAATTTTAATTTATCTATTACGATTTGATAGAATTTTACATCTTTATTATTCTATATATTTACTATTTTGCTTTATGATTAATTTCTCATGATACAAGCCAAAATATCAAAATTTATTTATGGTCATCGGATATATATATATATATATATATATATATATATATATATNCATACAAATGAGTAATCCTGTAAACGTAAACAGAATATTTTATATAGATTTTTTTTAATGAAAACTTAAAATCCTGCATTATTTTCCGGACAACCCAATATATATATATATATATGTACAATAGAAAAATATTACCAAATTTGTAATGTGATGGACATTTTGACAAAAAAAATTAAAAATTTCTTGTCTTGCCTTGTTTAGCTTATCTTAAATCCCGGGTTATATATTCGGGTTGTATGTATGTTTGTATGTATGACCCGGGATTTAAGGTATGCTAAACAAGGCAAGGCAAGAAATTTTTAAATTTTTTGTCATACTCTAATTTCAGTTTATCTATTACGATTTGATAGAATTTTTATATCTTTATTAATCTATGTATTTATTATTTTGCTTTATGATTCATTTTTGATGATACAAACCAAAATGTTAAAATTTATTTACAGTCGACTTCTTCTCACAACAAATCTTTCACATTCTATAACAAAAATTGAA